GGCCCCATGCGATGGGCCCCAATGGCGTCTACCAGCTGGCGCACAATCCGCCCCCGCCCTCCCTCCCCCCCGCCCTTACAAATTCCCTCTTTGGGTTTGTCATTCATCAACGAGGCGGAGAAATCAATACGGCCTGTCTGCAGGAAGCCCAGATTAAATCAGCTCTGCCCCACCTCAATAGAGAAGCGCTGGCCTGGATTTCCACCTTGCTGTCCGCCTTCACCAACAAGCTGGCCATCTCTCGCTAATTGCCGGCTGACCGCTGCGTTATGATCTGGCTACAAACCTCGCTCTACCCCGGAGTGCAAACATGAAGTGCTGGACGCAAGTGTTCTGTGTTGCCACTAGTTAACATCTAAGGTCGGTCACATAGTCATGTATTTGTTCTCACATTGACAACTTTTGAACCACCATTGGTCCAGGGGAGACGAAGCTACTGAACTTGATATATTCCAGAATAATTACCAATCTAGATCACTAAGAAGTGCTCCGAATAGTATCATTAGCTAAAATGAACTGAAGATGCCGTGCAATTGGCTTAATTGATAGTGGAGTCATCATGAGTGTTTCCAATAAGAAGTTAAGCATGGTCGACGTAGACAGGCAAACGTACCGAAACCGGATCTACTGACCTCCCAGGCTGTTGTCACCTCATGGCGTTGGCGGCCACCACGCCGCGAGCGTAGACGAACAGGTTGTGAGGGCATCCCGGCAAACGCACCACTCACCGCTGGCCATTTGGGCCCGGCGCGTCCCAGTGCGGACGCGGCGGCCTGTGGTCAGTCATGACGTCCCTCGCTACCGCTACCTCATGCGATCGACCGTGGCCGTAAGTACCCCCTGGAACACCCTACTGGCTTTTATAAGTATCATCTCACCCATCCAATAATTACTGACATGGAAATACTTATTGAATGTGCGTGGCATATACAATGTATGTACACTACATGAAACATCCCATGCGCGCATTTAATATTATTATTTAAGGGGGGGGGGGGCGCTGAAGTCCTCCCTCGGGGTTTTCCTAGTTTCGCCGAAGCGGTGTGGAGCAGGTCGCTGAATTTTCTTACTCCTAAATATCCTTTGCACGCATCGAGTATGCTGCGTACGCAACACAGAAACGATCAAGCTTCATATAAACGACTTGAAAAGTAGGCATTTCTGTCAAAAGGAAGATGATGAAAAACGGCAGCCTAAAACGAACTTGAAAAACAGCGTGGCCGGCCACACGAGGACGGAGCGGGCACTAGTAATGGAGGCAGCGGCCCTGCACATCAGGCAGCGGCCCGGACGGGTGGCCAGCTGGTAATGGAGGCAGCGGCCCTGCACGTCAGGCAGCGGCCCGGACGGGTGGCCAGCTGGTAATGGAGGCAGCGGCCCTGCACGTCAGGCAGCGGCCCGGACGGGTGGCCAGCCGCACCCCACCGATTTCCCTCTAGCACTGGCGCGGCATGCCGTTCGACAGGAGCACGCCGCCTCTAAAAAAAAAAAACACCTGGACATCAGACCGGCTGCTCTCGGGCGGGGTCGGCGTGCACGAGGAACATGCAGCATCGGCCGAGTCGTTCCGGCGCCGGCGACGGGGAAGCATCGGACAGGACAACGGAGCCGTTATCTCCTTAACTGCCCCTCCTTTGGAAAACTGGATCCACCACCATTCCCTTCTCAGTCAGTTTTTCATCGTAATGTAAATGGACATGCATGTCCATATATGCTACACTGAAAAGCCGCTCCCGAAACCCTGTGTGCAGGAATGACAAATTACCTCTCTGCATAGTGTCTTTCAAGGAGTGGGACATACGCCCATTAACCATCGCCCGGATTCGCCGTTTTTCATAACGCGGATTGACATGGGAGGAATATGATGCGACCCGCTTGTTGTTTCAAACTAATAAGATAGAGCTTAGCGAAAGACAGCAGTGGATTGTACTCAGCGAGATATTGCCGTCAGTACTGATTTTTATTTTGTTAGTTCAATAACTTACCACGTTATATTAGGTCAAAAGTCAAACTCCCCAGAACATTGCTCGTTTCCAACTTTACAATATTATACATACAAGACCGTGTCTCGTGGTGACAGGAAACCTTAAAATGCATGTTCTCTGTTCAGTTCTGAGTTCAGTGGTGTAAATATTTATGTGTTTTGATCATACTATTATTATATTATGACTCTGCTTATGTGATAGCGTTGTCCCGGCACGCGCGTTCCGCGGTATCGTTCGCTGTCGCCCACCAGTCGCGCCAAGCCGCAGGTCGTCGTGCAGTGTTTCTCAGAAACTACCGCTGCTCCGAAGCTAGAAAATATCTACGCTTTGGAGGTTTCTCAAATTGTCCCATTTGCGGAAACCTGACAACGGAACGAGCGAAATGATCTAGTCTTAAGCTAACCTGTGTCGTTTTCCATGGACCACCGTTTCACAGAGCTTGTGTTCGTGGAATAACTAGTGCTGGAACTTCGACTGTCAATTTATAAGCGAAATCGGCTAGCCAGTTACAGAGATGCGGAGAAACATGTGGTTTTGAGGATTGCATGCGTGGAAATATTCGTGAATACTGTGTGAAGCAACCACGGCTCCAGGCTTAGTCACACGGAGTGTGAAGCCTGGACACCGCTGGGACCTGGACACCGCCCAGTCACACGAAGTGTGAAGCCTGGACACCGCTGGGACCTGGACACCGCTCAGTCACACGGAGTGTGAAGCCTGGACACCGCTGCGGTCTGGACACCGCTCAGCCACGCAGAGCGTGAAGCCTGAACACCGCTGGGACATGGACACCGCTCATTCACACAGAGTGTCAAGCCTGGACACCGCTGGGGCCTGGACACCGCTCAGTCACACAGAGTGTCAAGCCTGGACACCGCTGGGGTCTGGACACCGCTCAGTCACACGGAGTGTGAGGTCTGGACACCGCTGCGGTCTAGACACCGCGCAGTCACACGGAGCGTAAAGCCTGAACACCGCTGGGACCTGGACACCGCTCACCCACACAGAGTGTAAAGCCTGGACACCGCTGGGGCCTGGACACCGCGCAGTCACACGAAGTGTGAGGCCTGGACACCGCTGCGTTAAAACGGTAGAAGTAAGCCATGCACTAGTGCGTGAAGGCCAGGCAGCCTTTTGGCTGCCAGAGATCAGGGCTATTTCTGCGACGCAGGAAGACGTCTGAGTGATGGGGTCACTGGCTTGCGGTTCGATGGACAGTGTATCAACATCGGCGAAATTGATACAGACAGCCGTCGAATGTCTATAATGGCCTTTGCGGGCACCCCATGATGAGTGCAAGGAGTGAACCAAAATGCTTACCGTATAATGCATATTGCATTGCATTAACTGGTGTCAGCACAGTCACATCGTATCAGAAAACCGACGCTCGTCGAACGCGACGGACGGGTAGCTGATTCGAAATCGACATGAACATTTCTATTGAGTAGGTGCCGGCCGGTGTGGTCGATCGAGATTGTCAGCACCCGTACAAAACTAGACGGTGACCTGTGCGCAGCTGTGGTCGAGCCCTCCCGGCGCGTCGGTCCCGCAGCACTACCGACGCGCTGCACCTGCTCCAGTATCACTCTCCACCCCGACAAACCCTGCCTCGCCCCTGTCGGCGTCGGTAAAATTAGACCGCTCGCAGACGTTTAAAATGCGAGGGCCGTGCTGTGCTGGGTCCAACAGCCGCCCGACGCGTCGACCGTTTCCAATATTATTCCGGGCAGCCAATTCTAAAACACGGCTCGTTTGTGGCATCTTTATTGAGAGGAGCCCGTGGCCGTCGTGACATGCTCGACCTCTGACGTCATGCGGGCGAGGACCGGAATCCGGGCCGCCAGGGAGGCGCCGGAGAGTGATTGCCAGCCCCTCCCCTCACCTCCCACGTGGCCGGTGCTGTGGTGTACAGCCGTCTTCAATTACGCCCCGAGGCCCATTCAGAGCGACGGCGTCTGGCAAGCGGACGGCCGTGTCACGCACCCGAGCGCGGCCCAGATGGCCTAAGGCGCCGGTCGGCGTAGGCAGAGGTCAGGGGTCGGCTGCGGCCAAGGCGAGGGGAAGGGGAGGGGCCCCGTCGAGGGCGGGCCGGGCTGGCGAGCGCCGCGACAGCAACGGCCGCCACAACTCAAAACAACAAGCACGGCGCGGTCGCCGCTGCCACACTATCCATTCGCTGAGTGACGGCGGACAAAACCGAGCTGCAATGTCCAGACATCACCGACGCGTGCTCTTCCACAGACATATATGCGTGGCTAACAGTTGCTGCTCTGTATGACGACATCGAGAGGTATGACGGTGTCAGGGCGCACACACACACACACACACACACACACACACACACACACACACACACACACACACACACACACACACACACACACACACACACACACACACACACACACACGGAACGGCAAACGCGTCGGGCTATCCTGAGGATTTGATGCGCAGGGCGACCACCTACGTCCGTCCGCGTGACGTGCACCAGTTTAGACGTAATATGGTGCCGGCACATGACCACCGATAACACAGAAAGCACATTACACTCAGCCACCGACGCCACGTGCAGAGTGGACCCAACTTGCTGGTCACCGCCAGACACCGCCACGTCGCGCCGTCATGCCTCGTTGGTCTTCTGGTGTGCGCTGACCGCCTCGTCCTGTTCGCGGCAAACGGCGGGCCGCGCCGCTGAGCGACGCTCCCCGCCGCTGAGTCGCGGCGAACGTGCGGGCCGCGCCGCTGAGCGTCGTTCCAAGCGCGCGGGCCGCGCCACTGAGCGTCGCGCCAAGCGTGCGGGCCGCGCCGCTGAGCGTCACTCCCCGCCGCTGAGCGTCGCGCCAACCGCGCGTGCCGCGCAGCTGAGCGCCGCTCCCCGCCGCTGAGCGTCGCGCCAACCGCGCGTGCCGCGCAGCTGAGCGTCGCTCCCCGCCCCTGAGCGTCGCGCTGGGCGTGCGGGCCGCGCCGTTGAGCGCTGCTCCGGGCGCTCACACGCCTGAGCCCGCGGGCACCATGCTGCACGTCATCGACTCGAGCGTGTCGCTGTCGGCCGTGTCGTCCTGGATCCGTCGCAGGCGGTTCCCCTGCGGCACACGGCAGGCAGCGTGTGCATGACATAGCAGCAGACGGCGCGTACACGACACAGCGGTAGTGTGTGCACGACACAGCAGCAGACGCGTACACGACACAGCGGTAGTGTGTGCATGACACAGCAGCAGGCGCGTACACGACACAGCGGTAGTGTGTGCACGACACGACAGCAGACGGCGGATACATGGCACAGCTGTAGACGCCATGTATACAGCACAGCGACAGACAACAAGGGTGACCACAGCGGGTGGGAAGACAGGACGCAACACAACGGCTGGGGAGACGAAGGCTGTAAGGAACCGTGAAACAACAGCGGCCGCTGTGTCCAGCGGCCGGGGAGAGGTTTGGGACAGGACAACTGGTGACAGAGCAAGCGACCGGGTGGGCGCGGCCGCTGAGGCGTCACCGACTGCGACGCGGCGGCGCCAGGTGACGGATGGTGACGGCCTGAGTGAGGAGTGTGTTCTCCTGAGTGAGGAGTGTGTTCTCCCGAGTGAGGAGTGTGTTCTCCCGAGCGAGGAGTGTGTTCTCCCGAGCGAGGAGTGTGTTCTCCCGAGTGAGGAGTGTGTTCTCCTGAGTGAGGAGTGTGTTCTCCCGAGCGAGGAGTGTGTTCTCCCGAGCGAGGAGTGTGTTCTCCAGAACGAGGAGAAAACTGAAGTCCACACGCGGCCTTTCAATGCAGAACAACGGGCGACTGTCGTGTTGTGCTGCGGGGCGGGGCGGCCATGTGTCCACGGTCATGTGTCCTGACACCCCGTGTGCAGGTACTGCACCACAGTGCTAGTATCACACTTGGGACAATAGCCTGGCGAAAGGTTCGTGTAAAAACAAAAACATCCTGGGATAAGAGATTGGGGTGCGAAGCGGACAGCTAGTAACACAACATAGAAACCAAACGGGTTTCCGAATTTCTTTAACGCACGTATACTCTGTGCATATGTATAATCTATGCCGTTAGATGTATGCAGTTTGGAGGATTTTGCTGTGGGTATCTTGATCTCTTTCTTTTCTACATATCAACAGAGTGTGGATAATGCAAAATGGTCGACACTCCTGTACGCGTGTAAAAAAGACATGGGCTTATGAATCGTAAAGACCAAGTGACTAGTGCCTCGGACTTCCACACAGGGGGGGGGGGGGGGGGGGCACGCGTTACGCCATGGCTTCTTAGCGCCAATATAGCCAATGCAGCCGCCTGCTCTCCAAATACAGGGGCGTGACGACATACGTTGCGTACCACTAAAACATAAAACTGAAGTGCTAATCCTACATTTTCAGTTATATCGGGTGTGGTTCTTTTAGTCCCCTTGCTGGCTCACGAGCCCCGTACACATCTGCTTCTTATAAATACTAACAAACCCAGTGTTTTTAACAATATCTACAGCAATAAAAGCTCCACGAAGTCTTTTGAGCGACGCTTGACAAACGACTACTACGGTCTCCTTGAGGCTCCCAACAGAAGCATGAGTTCTTTCCCAAGCGAACATGGCTGGAATGAATGTCTAGGTGGTCTACCAGCAGCGACGCGTCTTTGCAAACGCGAAAACCATGAGAGTTGCTGAATTGGATAGGGCATCTACCCGCGTTCATGACCGACGCAGAGATAGCACCACAACAATTTACAACAATTTTTATTTTCAATAAATGTGCTTCTAAATGTGGCATTGTTTGAAGGCGTGATCGTACCTTGCGCAACATTGATTGAAGAACAATTCACGATCGTTGTAGTTGGAAATCGTGCTTACGAACGCAAGATGTGAACAACTTGACAATTATGCTGTTCTTGGCCTCGATCGCCGCATGGCTAATTGAATAGCAGAATTTAAATGACGTTATTATAGCGTCATGAATGCCTGGGTGGCCTTTAAAATGGTCTGCACGAAAAAGTCTAGCACAGCTACACGCTACAAGCCCGCGAAGATGTGCGAAGAGGCTTTAGGTCTTAAGAAGGACAGGGCTGTGAACTGCACCGAATGATCTTCAAAATGCTGATTTCAGTTAAAAGCCCCATGCAAACTGAAACACCCCCTTTAACCAATTCAAAGTTGCGGTGCCGAAAAAGAGCAAAACCCTTGCAACTGCGCCATAGGAGCCACGTGCCATTTGTGGCGTGCCAACCTGGCGAGGTGCAGTTCAGCTTGTTTGAGTGAAAACAGGGATGGGACCTGAGGGTCCTCCACCGAAATAAAAACGGGGGTCGGGCATGTGATCGGCGCTCAGACGGGTCCCACCAAGGGCACTTAAGCCCACTTATGGCTCGTGCATGTCGCCTGCCCAGACAAGCCGGGCGTCGCGAGGATGCATGAAGAAGTGAGCATGAGGGACAAAGGGCGGATAGGGTAGCAGGGATTCCCGGCATGAAGAGTTAACCAGGCGCCAAGCCATTCGGCTTTCTTAGTAAGACTTGCACCACCACTTCCCAACGTTATGGGAATTAGTGAGACTCGCACCACCACTACCCAACGCAGCGGGAGTTATGCTGGAACCCAGCGATCTGCATAGTGATGCACATAATGGTCATTGCCACAGTAAGGCCCCCCTGGACAATACAGCGCCGGCTCGTGCTGCACGGTCCCAAACATCCCGTCACCGCACTCCACTCGCGTACACCTCTTGAACAGACGCATGTGATTCCGACCTTTCGCGCCCGTATTGCACGCGGTGCCAATAACTCTCAACGGATAGCGATTGGCGTGACAGTCGGCGAGCGGGTGGCCAAGTGGTGGAAACAGAATAGTTGGCGCACCTCTGCCGTATGAATTTGCTTCCCAAGAAGATGCGTAGCATCTTCTCGGGAATAGAAAAAAGTAGCATAGGGTGACGTGCACTTCTTTCCATTCCTTCAAAACAGCCTTTTCTAATGGGCACACCCTGCTTGGCGACGACGGAGGTAAAGCAAACATTTCCGGTTGCAGACAGAGACTTAGCATGCACGACCATGACTTGACGCTTGCAGTCCGTGCCGCCCCCGGCGTTCTGCTCTCTCCGCTCCCTCCGCTCTTCCTGCGCTCCGCTCTCGGGGCTACTCTCTTACCTCTGAACACGGGACGGTCAGTGAAGCTCGCGCGCTGCCCGAGAGAGGCAGTCTGACCCGAAACAGCGACCCCGTAGTGGTGTGAACTCTCGACCTCAAGACGAACGGCAGGAGGGGGTGAGCGCATGCGTGAAGTCGGTGCTGCTGTGCTCTTTACGGTCGTTGGACGCACAGAGGAGCCCGTGAGGAGGCTGGCAAAGGACGCCACGTGTCTGGCAGACATATGCGGCAAGCGGATACCCAGAACCGCATACTGGCTTGAAACAGCGCGTTCTCTCAGTGGGACGCAGCGGGATAAGTTCTGAACTGGAACAGTGATGCTGCCAGCACCCTTGCTCCCCGGGCGAAACGCCTCCAGAGCTGAGGCCCCGTGCTGTCTAGGCTCCCCTGCTGGCGAGGTCTCCATGAGGCAACACATCACCTCCGGCTACGACCTGCCCGTGCAGGGGCTGGAAGACGGCAACTTTGAGGTGATCCACTGCACGGCCATCGCGTGTCTGTTGACCAGCCTGCTGAGTGCCGCCGTCACCGTGCTGCTCACTGTTGGCGCCAACCAGTGGAAGCCGTCGACGTTCTACAGCTGGACGACCGGTGACCGCGTGCTCGTCTACATGGCCGTCTTCGACGGGCTCTTCAACCTGATGCACATGTTGGACCACGGCATGTACCTGGCGCAGCGGGGCCACGTGCGACCGCGCCAGCTGTGCGCCTTCTTCGGCTTCATGCTGTCCGTGCTTGGGATCACACAGCACCTGTTTTTCTGCTTTCTGGCCCTGCAGGCGTGTTTGATGGTATTTACTCTGCAACCCCCGGACTTCGGCAGACACGACTGGCGTCCCCTCACCGTCAGTCTGGGCCCGGGCGTGCTCTTCAGCAGCCTCAACTGGGCACTGAACATATTCGGTCCTACCGGCGCCTTCTGCTACCTGGACCCGGTCAAGGCGCCGCTCTTCCTCATGACCTTCACCACGCTGTTCCTCATCGGCGTGGGCGTCTTCAACTTTGTGATGTACTCGGTGACGGTGGTGAAGCTGCACATCGCGGACCGTGACAACCGCAAGCAGCTGGGCAGTCGTACGCAGCTCGGCCGCTCGGTGAACAAGACCGCCTGGACGTGTACCTACTTCATCGTCTCCTTCTTCGTCCAGTGGCTGCCCATGATCATCTACGGCGCATGTGCTATGCGCGGTGTCTCGCCTCCCTTCAACCTCTTCATGGCCGTCACCACGCTCACCAACCTGGGTGGCCTTTTCAACCTCCTGCTGCTCGCCTACGTTCGTTTGCGGAGGTGTTTGTCTTGCAAGGGGCAAAACTTCGCGTCTGACGCTAGTAGTTAAAGTGCAGTCAGTACTCGTGGTTCCGCTGCACCACCCTCCATAACTCGTGCCTGATAATAAGTGTGTATTTAGAGAAATTGCAGAGCACCGGTCGCACTAGGGTGGTGCTAGTACACTTCAATGCCCATTTGATCCGAGAATGTTTGGCAGTAACAGAGCTACCTCAAGCCTATTCTATTATGTCGTTTCCGTGAAGAGGAAAAACTTATTTTCAAAAAGCAGTGCATCAGTCAAGAAACATATGACAGTTGATACAGCTTTTGCTTCCCCGTTTATGCGCTTCGTGGTCATCTGTAGCGCCATGAACCATAACACTGCTATGGAACAGATGCAAATAACGCTCACCTTCCATACGGCACATAGTAGGGACGACACCTCGCACAGTTACTGCTGCACACAGGAAAAAAAAGTCAGCAAAGACGACACCAACTGCATTCGGATAGTGCCTCGCAGCTTTTCCGTGTGCTGAACCCAGACGTTACCAACGGGGGAGGGCACTCCCCCGGTGGGAAAATGCAATGGTCTCGCGGTAGCGGGGTTGCGATGTTGCCACACAATGTGTGAGCCAGGAAAGATCAGCAGCGCCCACAGGTATACCCTGGCTGGGAGGCGACGCTGCCAGAAGAACTGCCATGCACCGCATGCACCGAGTCGAAGATGCTTGATGTAGTAGCCAAAAACAGAGGCGGTATTGACTCGGCCATGAATAGGTCAGATAGGAGCAGGATACAGAGGGTTCAGTTTTGTGATATGCTTTGAGTTGTTGGGCTGCGGCTGCTGTCAGGTGAGCATGCGTGCGGCGAGGTCAGCGGCGCCCTGTTGAGCTGGAACTGTAGTTCTAAAAGCTCTAAAACAAGTCATAGTAATGTGATGTCTGTTTGAATATCATCCAGTGGAACCAATACATTCATAGGCTGCATTTCCGGGTAGAAGCTTAGTTTTGATCAGAACACGATAACTTATTGCGAAAAACTGTTCGAACACGCTCGCTCTGTTTGAATATATAACGCAATCCCCCGAATCGTCCACGTAACCGGTCGTAGGTACTGTTGCGTGGCGCAATGAGGTGATCCACTCCTTTCGCTGAATCGATACACCGCTGTCTCTCAGCAAGGAAATGAATAAACAGGCAGCCAGTTGAGGAGTGATGTGTGGATGAACTTTTCCCGCTTGACATACCCTTCAGATTGAACGGCACTTGACCTGATCCGCCGTGTGCAACTGTTAAAACACTACCTTTTCTAAGAAATGGGGAGCATGTTAAACGACATCACGAGCCTTAAATTCTATGAAAGGTCCATGAACAATATTTGAAGGTGATTTCAAAATAGCTTCGCTCCGTGCGCTTCCCGCTAATTTAATTGTTCGTCTTACACGTTGAAGTGTATGCGCAGTAATTATGCAGCTCTTCTGCTCAGTTCGATCAGGCAAGTGCAAGCTATCAGAAACACATCGTTGGTCGGACTCGGTAGTTTCTCCACCACCCATCCGTATGTCTTATGTAGCGTGCCCTGTACTCTGTGTACCTAATGTGCAAAGGGTACGCATGCTCCTGTACCCTACGTACCCCTGCACCCTCCTGTGCCTAGATACCCGTGCAGCAGTTTGCGGTGGTTTTGCCACTTTTTTGTGGGGAAGTCGTCAGTTATATTACATTGTTTCGTTATGTCAAGAAAGAGGGACTTTAAGTGATGGTGTTCCACTCGGATAAAAATGTCTTCTGAAAAACAACCTCGGCGCTCTGACGCAACCCAGGTCATCTGTATTTGTTAAAATGCCGCACGCATGACATGTCGTCAATAACATAAGTTTCTCGGGGCATTTGGCAATGAAAAATGTCGCATGGCTTTGATCGTGCGCATATTTAATTTCCTAAACCAGTGTTCTTAAGAATGACACGGTGGTATGCAAATCATAAAAGACGATGTGTCTTCGAACGCTCTTCAGGCGTGCAAACATGCATGCTGCTCCCAGTGCGCACGTGGACAGGTTACGCAGCATCAGTTAGCGTCCCGCCATCTCATACACCCTCATGTTCAACAATGAAACTCAGAAATGCTAACGTGTTCACTCATCTGATACTATCCTTCATGCTTACGAGGCAGCGCTTGTGTCATTTTCTTCATCATCATATGCCATTACGCCACCGCATTTTTTTGTCATCTGGCGACGTCCAATGATAGCAGTGTGTACCAGGTCCGTAAGGAATTCTACATTTTCAGCGCACATAAAATTATATAGAGCCCGTTGCCCATTAGAGCTCAAAAAGGGTTGGTAACCTAACGTGGACTTGGGTGGATCCTGGACAAATCCTGAACTACTACTTGACACTAAATCAGATTCGAAACGTTACCAAAGCTCAAGTTTACATGAAAAGTAAGGTTCTCTGATAAAGCAAGTAATATTTTATATCCTTTTCTTTACTCGCATTGCCGCTGACGTGACCTGGACGACTATTCGTTGTCTTCAGCAGGTCAAACAAGGCCACTTCAGCTTTATTAGACAATAACTAACTTTTAGCTCTCGTTTGGTGGCTCCAGGGAAGTTTGTGAAAAAATAGCGAGCGTATTGTGCTCAAACTTTCTGCTCTCTTCACCAGGCGTGGGGATGAAAACAGCTCCGGCCGCGCGACACGTCACAAAGGGCGTACCTCGGTCTTAGCGGATGCCGCATCTCGGCAAGCCAAGCCCCAGTAAAAGTAGTGTCCAAGGCAGCAAGACCCGGGACTCGTCCGCATGGCTTGCACCGATGACTGTAAAAAAATCAGTTGCAAGCTTAGCAAAAGGATGCATGTTGGCAGGAATCTGGAGCTACACTGCGGTGTGGTGGTAGCAACGCGTTGACCGTTGCCACGCTTTAAACCCGCTTTTTGAAGTGGAATTCAGTACAGCTAAGTGTGGGTCAGTTTGGTATTTGCATTCGCTGCAACTCTGCTCGCACAGTAACAGTCACAGGTGCACTTATATAGACATGTAGATACTTCCAGATGGCTACACAATGACATGGACGCGAGAGTATAGTGACACCCGGACATGGGGCATACGTGACATTCGCACTAACGGAAGGAGATCTTGTCAACTAAATCGTGTGCCGCCGGTCCATACCAAGCATGAATGGAAGATCTAGCATAGGACAAATGGACACCGCCCCCCGGAAGACGGTACAAATGTATAACCCTGTTTACACTCGGTTTGTGTGAATGAAAGGGGAAATGTGAAATGGCATGTTTCTCATGCCACCGTCAAATGTCACGTCAAAAATCTCGCTTAAACAATAACTACGTGCCTACAATAGCGAGGTTCAAGTCACCTGAAATATCACCATGGCGGGATTACCGATATACTTCGAGGGATTCCAATGTAAATTTTCTATGCGTTCCACATCCAGTGGCCCGGGCAGCATACCGAACATAAAAATGAATTTGGCTGCCCTGGTACTCTTCCATTCAAAATTCATGTGCAAACGGTAGAAGCAAACCATTTATTCCATTGAGAAGTTGAGATTCGGGGTTGTACCTTACCTGGCACTACTCCGACAACGAGTAGCTTTGAAGACAAAGCGCTGGGTTTGCTTGGTTTCCCTACGGAATGACAATGATGCGGGAGCTCCGGGAACAGAAGCGAAAACATTCTTGCGCTTCCGGAAGAACACGGCTTGTTTTTCGGCGAAGCGAAAAACCAACTAAGTGGCGATGGCCGCAAAAGCAGCTCCAGCGTCGACTTATGCGGACCAGGCGGAGTCCAACGATAATATTCATCGGGCTATCCTGGTATTGATCAGTATTTTGTTGGGACGCTTGGGGATGGGAGCTACCTGGTGCTCCTCACCCCTGTTCAGCACATCCGCCTGCTTCTGTTGCTTTCCCTTTTTATCTCTACCCAAGTAACTCCAGCAGGTGTTCCCAGAAATGATACACCTCCTGACTTGTGACAGAGCGTTCCTGACTTAAGCGTTATTTATAGCAGAAAATTGCACAGTTTGAATGATTTCGTGACAATCAGTCCTCCATCAATTCGCACTTGAATGTATGACTTAAGGGCTAGGCCAATATAACATATCGCCCTTACGCCCTCGTGTTGATGGAACGATGTACAAATATGCATACCAAACATGCATACCAAATATGCGTGCTTGTGTACGTATGGCGCAACGGCACACTTACAAAGGTACGTAGGGCGCAACGGCACGCTTACATGTAGTACTTGTAAGTAGGGCGCAACGGCACGCTTACAAAGGTAAGTAGGGCGCAACGGCACAAAAAGGTGCTATCAAAGAAGTTTTAAGCTGAGACGAGAGTTGTCAGTAAAAGATAATGTCAGTCATCAGATCTAAGCCTCCTTTTTCTGTTTTCTGTTCGAAGGAATGCGTCAGACGATCCTTAATAGTCCGACTCCACCAATAACGCGACACAAATATTCCGAACTTGCACAAAGGCCACTGCTAACAGCGTCCTTCGGTATGACAAATACTGCGGAGTAGTGCTGTTACCGCATGGAGTCGTACAGACTTCGGGTCTTACAAAGAGTTTAGTACGAATGCTAATTGCAGCGTGAGAGCAAATGGTTGGCGACAGTAAAGTTGCTATCTACGAGAAGGAGCTACTGTGACCTGGGTACGACAGAGTATTGCAAACAGCATGTTTTTGAGCAAGATTCCCGTCATATGATAGCCCTGCCCACTACTCGGACCTAAGGTGGGGATAGCGTTCTCTCATGCCACGCGATGGAATAGTCTGAGCGTACATTTGAAGACTGACGCAGCAAAGAAGCGCCGGCCGTTATTTTCTATCGCTTCCGGGAATGAGACTTCACCGACCCATACATCAGCGGCACGCCATTCAAAAGCGAGTGAACAGCATCATACATAAGCAATCATTTGCGTCACGTTCTCTCTCGCTGCTAATCCAATACTAGCGTGTACGTCTAAGCGCTTTACCGGCCTAGCATGCCCCGACCCCCGATCTAGTATCATTAGCATCAGCCCAGCCAACCATCGTTGACACGCTACCAAACCAGGAGTCTCCGGCCCAGAGGCCACACCTCACATGTCAGTTCTATGTCCACGACCGATGGGTTACACGTCACGACGGGCTGGGAGGGTGGGGCTGGAGGGGGGGGGGGGGCCTGGCACGGCAAGGAGAGCACACCACTTATTGGGATTCCGTTCCGCCACCGACCACGCGGTGTCGTCCTACCACGCGAGCTGCTCCGAGTCTGGGCGGCCTGGAGTCCTCGGAGTCCGACTGGCCTCGGACTCCTCCGAGTCCTCGGAGTCCGGCCGTCCGCGTCACGCGTGGGGTGATTGATCACTGACCGGCGTACCGAGCGGCACCAATCGACGCCCGGCCCTTCAGCTCCGGTGCCCCGGGGGCAGATTACCGGTCGCGGACCCAGGGCGGAGGCAGACAGCTGACCCAGCGGCGTCGCGACGCCAGACAGCGGGCGCGCCGCCAGGAGAGCGCTCAGACGTTGTCCGAGACCTGGGACGCCCCCGCGAGGCTCCCCTGGGGAGAGGTGAGCCTTGTCACGGCCTTTAAGGTCACTGCAGGTGGAGTAGCGCGGCGCAGCTCGGTGAGAGAGAGAGCGAGAATTCCACGTGTTTTGGAAATATGAGGAATGCACTGAACGAGCCGCGCCGAACCATTGGATGAGAGCATGACTTTGAATTTGAAACCGCGTGATGCTAACAAGAAATTTCAAATCTTCAGCAATATTCTTGTGGCGATTGCTCTCGTTTATACAACAGGAAACAGGAAACAGTTCGCACAGGTGCGCATACAATTCAGGACTACCAACTCGCCACCTTACACATTCACAACATAGGCGATTAATGGCAACTGGCGTTACAGGCGTGAGAACGCAAAAGCAGCAGCAGAATGTCTGTCCGACGTGTTGTGAGGTATTCAGAAGATAAAAGGGTTGCAGTAGAAATATAATATTTAAATGAAATGCGTAGAAACTCCTCGCATTTTCAGACTTATGACGCACCTTCCTTTCCGCGAGTCTTTCACTCTTTGCGCTATAATAAGTGGGAAAATATTGGTTCTAACATGGTAAAGGTGTTAGTTCTGCGGGAAGTGTGACTTTCAGCGGAACTCTAAAATATCATACTTTTGGTCACCTTAAATTTTGGTGAGTTTAGGTGAATGTGGAAGTGACGATGTTTGCATTGTTGTGTTCTTTGATATTAGAGAAATATTATCTAGCACAACAAGTATCACCTCGCTTTTTAAACAAAACAGCTTTTTGCAAACGACAATTGTCGCCCGGTTTCAAACGAAAAAATGTTTAGAAAAACAGTCATCGCCTCGTTTCAAACGAGACAATTTTGGACCTCCTTTTCTGTCGGCTCCTTAATATCGGTTGCAGGAAACATTATTATATAGCAGTTATCTAAAGCATCACTGATGGCAATCGTAATCATCATTGATCTTTTAACACGACAGACAGCTCCAACGCATGCTTATGTGTAAGGAAATGTTTGGACACATTCAGTCACTCAAATATTTGCAGCATGACCGCACGGCGTTTGTTACAGCTGATTCGCACTTCGTTATTAACCAAGACCAGATCTCGTTGATCACATAGCGCTCCTCCGGACGCCGGAATGAGCACCATCATCTTACATTGTATGCTTGAATTTCTAGTGAAGCTTGTATGGCTTGCAACGGAATTATGTAGATAACCAACTCATTTACATCGTATGCGGTGTGACGCAAAGTTTCCGCCGCCAAATATGCGGCGGAACTTTAAAATGCTCGGTCCTGACCCGTCATTACCACTGCTTTTCCAAAATAATCTCAAAGCTTTGGTGCAAAACTGTGCAATACTGCAAAGTGGCAGTATGCTGGCAATGAGTCAGCAATGCCCACCTGCCTTGTCACGAATGCAGCCCGACACACTAGTTATATTCTAATAGTGCGTATCAGATGAGGAAGCCTTGGATTTGACCGAGATCACCCGTTGGAATTATTGCGAAAATAACGGCGGCACCGGTCTACCATGCCAATGCACCGTCTAAGCTACCGATCGACCTCTTCCACATGTGGCCGTAAAGGAGCGCTTCGCCCGTGCACTCACCAAGAGACGACGTGGTGCCAAGAAAAGCTGTGCTGGAAGTGTGTAGTGGCTCTGTTGCAGAGTACTGCTATAATAAATATACGACCGTGTAGTATAAACACACGAAACCGGCGCTACCGCACCCAACAGCGGGTGCGTTAAGCGCGCGGGAAAAATCGTTGCCAGATAGGAGATCGACACGGCATAACAACCACGAAATATTGTTCAGCAGACCACAGCCAACGCTATAAATTAGGTGGAAGCGTGAGTGGCATCTGCTTCAAATCTACGTGAAGTGGTGAAGAAAATGCAGCGTGCCGAGAAAGCGTTTCCAGTAAACTGCTAACATCTGAGGTAAACAAAGTGAAGTGAGATAAATGCCCCTCCACATCCATTGTTCCATATCCACGTCGTCGCCATATTTAAGACAACATCGATGCTTAAAGCTCACCGCGGGATGCACGATAATCGCAGAATGGTTGGTCTCATAAGTAGGAAATGTCAAATATACTAGTGGTTCACAGTTCATGAATGATGGAGTTTTTGACCCTCGTCTTGATAGCGGGCTCCATGCGCTCATTCATTTACAGGGAATGAAACATTCATATTTCAATGGAACATTGATAAAGGAAATCAAACATTCCCTTTAAAGGAAATGTTTCGCATTTGAGGAAATTGAAGCCAGCATCATATACGATAAACAAGGTCATTTATCACTATTGGTATACTTGTAAATCAAAAAGACTGCTCGAGACGGCGGGATTTCTCTGTTCAGTAAACATGCTCTTCGAAACGTCATTGTTTGATTGCGTCATCATACCTCACGCAACATGGATGGAGGGCCAAATGACGGCCGTTATGTCTGAAAATGGCGCTCAAGAACCCCAGATATCAACGGCTCGACAATCAAACTTTTTTTGGCCTTGATCACCAGATGGCCCTTGGAATGGCAAGACGTGAATGATGTTATTATAGCGTTATGAATGTCGAGGTGACTTTAAAATGCTCTCCCTGGTATAACTTTTCCCATCTTCGTGGTTGTGTAGCTCAGAAACTAAAGGGGCTGAGACCTTAAGGAGGGCAGGGATGTAAACAGCACCGAAAGGTCTTCAAGATGACTGTTTCTTTTCAAAACCACCTACAAATGTCGAACACTTCCTTTACAGAGCCATACATCATGCAGATAGGGTCAAAACACATGATATCATACATAATTAAACTTATAAATGAACGACAAACACAATACGCCCCTATAAGTTTTGTGTCGCAACAAGGTATTGTGGACATGAGGTCGTAAAGTAAAAAAGTGCGGTTGTCGGGAAAATTTGAGCTTCCACCTGATATAATGGGTCAATTTTTGACCTAGCCACATGAAAAGTACTGCCAATCATGAGATCTCGAAACCAAGCCACATATGCTTCCCCTAAGTTCTATCTGTCTTAATTTGGAATCGCTGGGAAACGCATGCCCCCCCCCCCCCCTATTAATCCGCGTCGTGAAAAACGGCGAATTAGGGCGACGGTTAAAGTTTTCTAGCCCCTTGCCACCATGCGCATGCCGTGCACGCACTTTTTAGGGGAAATCTGATTCCATGTGCATGTGAACCACCCCAACAAGACCGAAGAAGCATATCGGTCAATGCTGATAAGACTACTTGTAACTCCCGAGGAATGGCAACACGGGCTGGAAGTGATTGCTGAATATTGTCATGTGCTTGTGTGTTGGCCCATTCTCGCAATGTTCTTACATATTCGACCGTGAGTTTAAGACGTTGAATTGAACTCAAATCCTCTGCTATAGCGCATTTTTAAGTTATCCGATTATAGGTCTTGTTTCCGTAATAACTAGGGGCGAAGTACGACTTCTTGTATTATCTAGCACAGCACGTAATTCGTGTTAAAATCTTGCATAGTTTACATAACATTAGCTGAGAGCCAATTGACAACCGTCATATTTGGAAGTCGCGCTTGCCAATGCCAGATGTGAAGGACTCGACAGGTACATTTTTAACCTTGATTATCACATGGCCAGTGGAATGGCAACATTTCAATGACACGGCGTCATGGATGCTTGGGTGACGTTGGAATAGTCAGCACGAAAAAGCGTGCACATCCTCGAGGGCGTACAGCTCAAAAACCACAGGGCTTTAGGTTTTAGGAAGGGTAGGACTGTGAGCTGCACTGAATGAGGAAGGAAGCTGTTTCAGCTCAAACCGCACACGAATGTTGAACATTTACTCTAAGCCCCTTGAGAGAGTCTTATTTGTGTCATTAACATCGATATTTAACCACAAGGGGTCTTTCCACGGGCCGGTAGTTACCCTGACTGAAACGAGGTTGTCTGCAAGGCGGGATTCGGGTGGTTGGGTCACTGCACTGGTCCGTGTCATGCCGGCCACTGCCTGTGGCTACAGTAGCAAGGACCACCACTTTGTTTCAAGTGGAGTCTGCCGTTACCCGGCTCGGGCGAGGTCAGGGGCCACGTGATAACACTCTCGAGACCGGCCGGTGCGTCGGCATAGCTAGGTAATCCCGGTGTGATGCTGCCCCCAGGGAGACTGGCCACTATGTTGGCTCTGGTACGAACGGCAGCCCAAACGGTGATGACGTGGGTCCGCCGCGCCGTTTTGCTCCGTTGGGCCTGCCCGTCATGTGGCGACGCCCTCGAGGACCGATTCTGGCTGGTTGTGGTAGGCTCGGCGGGCTCCGGTGAGACCGAACGCCCAGCATCACACGTGGATTAGATCTGACTGAGCGCAGTATGCTCCTACCTCATGATGGTCCTGCTCTGGTGCTCACAGTCACCACGGTGTTCCACAAGCTCAGGTAGCGGGCGCCAAAAAAGAAGAAGAAGAAACGAGTGGACAGCACCCCAAGTCTCACTAGCCTGCCCAGTCAGTAGGTAGATGGGAGACCCAAGACGAAGTACATCTTCTTATAAGGCTTAAGTAGATATACGCCCTAAAATAGAGATTGAGCTTCAGGTCGAGTTCGGAAACCAGAAAATGAGGTAGATGAGTGTGAACAAACTTATGGGGAGCCCAAGGTCGTGATAAAGGGGCACCCAAAACCGGAAGCACGAATAACCACGGAAGAGTGCCCCTTGTCAACTTAGAGAGGCACCACAAACCTATACAAAAGGCGCCCCTAAACCTCGTTGAGTTACGTCCTCAACCTACGTAAAGAGACGCCTCCAAGACCAGGACTTCCCGCAATCTCCCGATGTCCGTTCCGATGGCTCAGTTGGTCAGTTGGCGCCCGCGCTCCGATGCACCCATCGGTGGCGGGGTGGTCTCGAGTAGCCTGAGGCGCCCAATATTAGTCCCTGACAGGTATGACTTGCGGCCGTTGGCAGTGGTCATGCTAAGGATCGGGTGACGTCAGAAGGCAGGACAGATCGTGCCGAACACTGCGGCGCGTTAAACTCCCACCATCGAATTTTGCCG